CTCATTTGGCTTTTAAATTAGATTTTAAATAAAGTGTGTAATTCTCCATAATCTTGACATATTTAATCCAATACACTGAAGGCCGCAGGATCCTGCACAAGTGGATTTCCTTAAAAAGAAATCTGGCTTCAAGACTGTAACATAGAAAGCGTTGACACTTTGGTGATGATGGCGGTCCACTAAGGTAGTATAACAAAAGTATCAAGATCAGAACTATTGTAATCACATTGCTTCAATAGTAAGTGTGAAATAAATTAAAATGATATAAAATAATATTAACATAGAAAGTTTGCCTGGTCTGGTCTGCAGATTTCAAACTTAAGATTACAATATAAACTCTTATCTAAATTTTCAGTCCAACATCTTGTCCTGTGGATTTCAGATTTATAATCACCTGAATTATCAAAGTCAATTCCTTCAAATAAACTTGTTCAGTTGGTAGGTATGTCATTGGTTTTGTTTCTTTAAATCTTAGAATAATGGTTTTCAAAATTGGAGTGACATGAAGAAAGGTTAGCAGTCAGCAGAAACTGAGACAAGCAAAGGATTGCTTTCTCTCTCACTCTCTTTGAGAGAGAACCATGCTCAATATATTGTTAACTGTCAATCTGTGAACAAGACAAGCATTTTTTTCCTTTAAGGAGACTGCTTTCACTCTGCCGGAACACGTGCCCACACATCTTCACCATGAAAACTGAGACCTTTCAAGCTCCTGCCAAGGTAGCTCATTACTTCACTTTCACAGCTGCCCGATGTTTCCTAGGCGTTGGCCTTTTTATTTTTTTATTTTTCATTTTTTATAAAATTTTTATTAGTGAAACACCATGAGGTACAGTTGTAGACTTACAAATTTTTGTGTTTGGGTTTCAATTATACAATGATCAAGTACCCGTCTGTAGGATAACACTCTTTTGTCCTTCCTCAGGTAGCTTAGGTTTGTCAGGTCACACCCATCTAAGAACACTGAACTTGTATTGTAAGCAATGTCCTTTCTGTGTGGATACAGGAAGACAGTTAATATTATGCTTTGTAACTTGGGAGTTGATTGACTCCGAATAATATTTACTCCTGGGCATCTGATTTCTTGACTCAGTTGCCCTTAGTTCCTAGCACCCCAAAAGCAGGGTCCCGACGAGGGACTGAATGGACCCAGGGCAAGCAGTGAGCTACCCTGGCATCGAAATGGGCCAGGCCAAAGAGCCACGATACTCAACTATAAGTTGAGGGCATGATCATGGACAAATGCTGTCATGATCCAAAAGTAAGTAACGACGAGACTAGGACCCTGCTGGAGCTAGGAAGATTAACCTGGCCTGAGGACTGCGAAATGTATAGTGAGATGTTCTCAGGAAGAACCAAACTAAATTTATATCTCTTACTGTGCTCATACAGAATGACATTGCTAGAAATATTAGAAGTAGATTTATTACAACTATTTAAGTAGATTACTAACTGAAGGAAGAACACACCCTTGTTGGGATCCCACCCTTGGGTGGATCTCCTAGTAATCTGAAGTAATCTCTGTAGATGAGATTTTATCCTTGAGTTAATCTCCTGGAGGAGTGGTCTTACCTCTCTTTGTTGATTCGTCAGTATTCAACCCACCTTTATGTCACTGCCTTATGTGACTGCTATATAAACTAAGACATAAGCTCGGAAAAGGGGTGAGAAGTGAGAGAGCTCGGGCTCCAGAGATCCAGAGTCAGAGCCAGAAGGAGAGAGCTTCCAAGACTGGGGCCCAGGAGAGAAGGAGGCAGAGAAAGACAGGAGTGAAGAGGATTGGAATAAACTGCTATTGATATAGACCGGCCTGGCCCCCGCTTTTTCTTCCGTCTGCCCTTGGCCGACAGCCGTTCTGATCCAGGCCACACACAGTGGCTCAAGAGCACCGAATGCAGGCGGTGAAACAGTGCCGGTCAGTGAGCCCGTGAACATACAACCTTCGGCGTGATAAGATTTTACACCCGTCCCTCCACCAGTACCCATTTCCCACCACCACGGATCCCAGTATCCCTCCCACCCTCCATCCCCCCATCCCACCCTGCCTCTGTGGCAGGGCATTCCCTTTTGTTCTCTCTCCCTTTTTGGGTGCTGTGGTTTGCAAAAGAGGCATTGAGTGGCAATCATGTTCAGTCTAATAGGTCTACTTTCAGCATGCTTCTCCCATCCTGGGAGGATCCTCCCAACACCCTTTATTTGGTGCTGCCTTCTCTATCTGAGCTGCCAATTGGCTTTAACTCCATCTTCAGCACGTCCCTCACTGCTTTGGTGCAGATCTAGGCATAGTGGCTGTAGCTGAGGCCAGCCTGCTGCCAGTAGGCCACCATGGTGTTCGGAAGGCTGTGTGTGTGTGGGGGGGGGGGGGGGGGAGGGGGGAGGACGCAGCAATGTTGCAGGAAGGTCAGTGCTCACTTTTTTAAGAGACTGCAAATAGCGTGAGTTCATCTGAGAACCAATCATGAATTTCTGGCCTCCAGAACTTGTAAGAAAATCAATTTCTTTTCTTTCAACTTGCCAACTCTGTGGCAATTTGATACAGCAGTCACAGGAAACCAATACATTTATATCAATACATTTGCTTCTCACAAATGTGAATTCAAAATTCTGAAACTGTGTGTGTGTCCCAGTGTTGAACTCTATTTAAAGTAAAATGTGGAACCAGAAGACAGACAGTCAGAGGGATGTGCCAACCAGGGTTTGATTCCCAACACCACATTGCCTCCTGAGCACCACCAGGGTGGCCCTTGCTAGTCCCTTACACCACTCGGCTCAAGTAACACTGCACCCTCAGCTCTTCTAAGCAAACCTCTAGCCTGGTTGGCTGAGTATTGCTGGGACTTCCTAAGCACTGTTTAGAAGGTCTCACCACAAAAAAAGCAAAATGTCACTGAGTCACTCAAGGCTAACACAAATTTTGAGCCTCTTAGTAAACCAATTAAAAAATTTTTGTCTTTTCACATATATAATTTGTCTTTATAAGACCAAAACTACCCACTAATTTAATTATAGGTCAGTAAAATTTTAATATAAAAACAAATATCCCAGCTAGAGAGGCAGTTCAAGTGGTAGAGCACTTGCCTAGTATGGTGCAAGACCTGAGTTTAATCCCTAGCACTACCTGGTCCCCAGCACATTTCCAGGCATAGCCTTTGAAGCCCCCAAATATCACCCAAGAAGCCATGCTTGACCTGATGTAGCATCATAGTAGAGCAAAAAAATTTAGCTCTTAAACTTTTCATCCTTGAGCAAGTTAAATTTAATATAGTCCCAAATTTCTTTATTATCTATTCTTACCAAACAAGCAGATTGTTCTTTTGACTTGCAAAAAGTCTTTAAGATGACTTATTTTAATTATGTTTTGGGCACCCTAAATAGAAGACTAGGGAGAGAACTCAAAGGAGTGTAGCATGTGCCTTTTTTTGTTTAGGCCCCAAGTCCAATCAATCCCATCACTGTATATCCCCTAATAAGGTCCTACAAAGTAGCATGGTATCACTGCCCACACACCTGTCAGGCGTGGTATCATCTAGTCAAGTATTACAGTCTAAGCATCACAGGAACAGCCTCTCCATCTCCAAAAAAGAAGACAAACTCTCACCAGAAAACGTGATTGGGGGCTGGAGAGATAGTATAGCAGGTAGGATACTTGCTTTGCAAGTGAGCTATGTGGGTTCAATCCCCAGCACTACTTATGGTCCCCCAGCACTACCAGGAGTAAGCCCTGATCATGGCTGAGTGTGGTCACAAAAACTAAATTAAATTAAAATATGGGGATACTGAAATATATGCAACTTAAATACCGGGTATAAAAAGAATTATTATTTACAAATAAATTTTCCGGAGAAGACAGCAGATTTGAAAGTTGGTACGAAATGGCTTAGCAGAAAAAAAAAAAGAAAAGTCACTCTGAATTTAGGTGTGGGACAAAAGCAAGAATTTTCCACATATTGTAGACTTCCCATTGGTGCCAAAGGAGTCACACATAAATGTTGTCATCAACTTGATCCAATTTGGGTCAGAAAGGGTGATAATAAGTGAAGTTCAATATTTGTAATTAGCTACAAACAAAATATGGAGTCAATCATAACAATACAATTAATTTTTTAGTGAGATAAAGATATTTTATTAATATGAAGAAAGGAAAACACATACAAGAGAGTGTGTGGGATTCTCAAGAGAGAGGAAAAAGCTCCTGAAGAAAGGAAAAGGCAGAATAAAATACTTATAATTAATTTTAAACATACAAAGATTTTTGAGCAATGTTTATATAATTTTATCAAAATTTAACTCTCCATTTAAGATAAATAATTGATAAGAAAATACTGCATATGAAATATAAGAGTGACTTCTGAAGATAGGAAACAAAATTTTAAATATTCTCAAAAAAGGTTTAAACAAAAAATATTAATAGTGTCATCCTTAGTACAATACAATTTTCAGAAATTCTCCTTCACATTTAATCTTACATTAACTGTATTACAATTTTATCCTTTTTGTATTAAAATAACAAATTTTATTGATTACAAATAACAAATTATTATGTACCATTCTGTATAGTGCAACAATGAAAGTAATGTGAAATTATTACTAAAAGATCTCATAGCCTGATGTGTTTCTTGTTCTTAAAATATTACCAGAATTTCGCAAAAACAAAAACAAACAAATATATTACCAGGATGAAACTCAGAATCTGGGGAGAAGAAGCTTAATATGTATGAACAAAAATTAACAGAAAAAGCATAATACTATATTTAGTAAAATTCCCTCCGGAATATGACTTGCAAAATACGAAGCAAAAATATGATAGTTAATGCCACAATAAAAACAAAATTAGAATATATGGCTTTACTTTCTATATTTAATAAATACAATCAAATAATGTAACTATGGCAACCCATTATAGCGTTAATCAACAAAAATGCAGTCTTGATATTTTAAGTAATAATGTAAATTTAAGTCCTACATGACTACAGAGCAGAAAATAATTCAAGGTAATTAGTTCAAAAAAAAGAAAACTGTGTTGTATTTTGTGAGGAAGTATTCTGTGATGAAAAACCTTTTACAGTAGAAGGCATTGTGCTTTGATTCTGTTCAAATGAAAAGGGAAAACTAAAATAATCTTTTCCAGTTTCAAATGTATGAGTTGAAGAGTCTGTTGGAAAAGGGAATGTAAAGGAATCTTCTCCTTCTGGTTTTCCAAATAAATTTCCTGGGGAAAATAAATATTATAACATCATGACATTTGTATTAAATAATCCGCATAACCTATTGAATTCTACTGCATTTAATAAATAAGGGTGACTCTGATTCCTTGTCTATTAAGCAGATATTTAACTGTATTCCTTTTTTATTATTGAATCACCATGAGATAAGAGTTAAAAAGCTTTCACGTTTGAGTTTCAGTCATACAATGATCAAACAACCATCCCTCCATCAGTGCACATTCTCCACCACCAATGTCCCCAGTATACCCCCCCCTTTCCAACCCTCCCTCTACTCTCTCTCTACTTTTGGGCATTATGGTTTGTAATACAAATACAGAGAGGTTATCACGTTTGATCCTTTATCTACTTTCAGCATACATTTCCCATCCCGAATGATTCCTCCAACCATCACTGTCTTAGTGATCTCTTCTCTATTCCAGCTGCCTTCTCCCCCAGCTTATGAGGCAGGCTTTCAACTACGGGGAAATATTCATGGCCCTTGTGTCTACTGTCCTTGGGTGTCAGTCTCATACTATGTTATTTTATATTCCACAAATGAGTAACTGCATTCCTCTTCTGCGCAAAGCACTGATGTTGGTACTATGGAAAGTAAAGAGATTAAAACTCAATCCTATTCTCAAGAATTCTTAACTCAAGCATGTGAAAATCTAGTACACAAGGTAGAAAGATGGTAAAAGCACTCCCAGTGGAGATAGTAACAGAGAGACAGACAAACAAACAGGGTAAGAACAAAATCAAGGCCAGAGAGATATATAGTACAGTGCCTTACCAACGCTTGGCTTGCATGCAGCTACCAGGATTCAATCCCTGGCACTACACATGGTAATCCCAGCCCTGCCAGTAGTGATTCCTGGCAGTCAGAAGTAAGCCCTGAGCAAACCAGGGGTGGCCCGAAAATCAAATCCAAAGAATGTGAATAACAAATTAACTCAGTTTCTCAGAAGTACTGAGAAATAGTAAGTTATTCAAAGAGAATTAATGACAATGAGTTGGAAATATTGTCCCACTATAGCATCTCCAAGTTCTATAACCTTCCTTATGTCAATAAATGGCAATCCATTTTGTTATTTGGATAAAAATATTGACAATAATTCTTATTTGTTTTAATCCTTCATTATTTCATAAAAAGTTCTTACAATTCTATCTCCATAAAACTTACCCAAACAGGCATTATTTTAACAGCTTCCTAGTCAATTTTTACAATAGCTTTTTACTTTCCTTGGGGGAAAAAATCCTTACCATTAAGCATCTCACTTCCTTTCTCTCTCTCTCTGTCTCCCTGTCTCTGTCTCTCTGTCTGTCTGTCTGTCTGTCTCTCTCTGTACTCTCTCTCTTTCTCACTCACATCCCTTCCACAGTTTAATCTTCAACCAGTTACTCCACACCATGGACATGGGCTGGAGAGACAGCGCAGCAGGTAGGGTGTTTGCCTTGCATGCAGCCAACCCGGATTCGATTTCTCCGCACCTCTCGGAGAGCCCGGCAAGCTACCAAGTGTATCCCGCCCACACAGCAGAACTTACAAGCTCTTCGTGGTGTATTCGATATGCCAAAAACAGTGACAACAAGTCTCACAATGGAGATGTTACTGGTGCCCGCTTGAGCAAATAGATGAAAAATGGGAGGACAGTGACAGTGACAGTGACCATGAACATGCTGATCATGTTTCCATATCAAGATCTGGGCACTCTGCTTAGAACATTTGTATCTCAGTAATTTATACCGATACTTCCTTCAGGTATCTGCTCAAATGCTGCTTTTTAATGATGCCTTTCCCTTAATGAGGCAGCCTTTCTAGTCCATGTAATTCCTATTAATTTCTCTTATTACGCTTTACTTTTCTTTAGTACTTATTAACATCAGTTAGTAACATTAAGTCATCAAGTCTCAGCCCCCTGGAAAAATGACTTAAGAATCTGACTTCTCAGTGTTTATGTCATAGCCATCAACATTAACTACTGTAATCCTATTACCTAAACAATGAGTCTGAATTCTCATAAAACTGTTTTCTTAAAAAAAAAGACTAAAATGAGACAAATTTATAACTTTGTAAATGTCAGTTGTAAGATAGTATCTGAATTTAAAAAACTATGTTAGAATACAGGCGTGTATATTGTGATTAGAATTGTATTGTAAGATTGGTGGGGGAGGTGACTGAGTGATAGTACAGAGGGTATAGCATATGCCTTGCATGTGACCAACCCGAGTTTGATCCCCAGCATCCCACATGGTCCACTGAGCACTACAAGGAGTAATTCTTGAATGCAAAGTCTGGATTAACCCCTGAAAATTGCCCAATGTGCTTCTCCCCAAAATACAAACATACAAAAAAAGATTGGCAATATGAGTCAGGAATTGTTCATGGTAGTCCAACATATGCCATGTGGGTGAAGTAACAAAATAAAGCATATTATTACTTGGCTAGCTAGTAGACTTTTTAGTGAGATAAAGATATTGTATATTCTGATATATCCAACTTTGTATCTTTGTACAAATTTAACTAAATCTAATATTGGATTGAAAGTAGAATGTGTGAATTTGATTGCCATTTCAAATTTATGTTAACAGTTGTTCAGAGCACTACTTCCTTATATTACATGATCCTATGTCCATTTAACTCTCTTCCACTAGAATATAAACCCATGAAAACTTCTTGTACACTGTTCTATCGGAGAACCTAAACAGACACTGATATGAAACATCTATGTACACATATATAAAGTTTTGAAGAATAAAGAGATTAAAGAAAATATAAAAGCCAGTGAGAAGTAAACACTAGAAAGGCCAGAGTGATAGTACAGCAGGTAGGATGCTTGGCTTGCATGTGATTGACCCAAGTTTGATCCCCAGCACCCCATATGCCCCCCTGATCCCCCAGGAATGACCCCTGAGCAAAGGACAAAAACCAAAAAAATAAAGAAAGAAAATAAAATTAAAGATAGGAAGAAATAAAAAAAACTCCAGAAAAAAAAAGATGAGAATGATCTATGTCAAATGCTTGGAGATAGCATGATAATAAATACAAATTACCCCTAACCTTTGATAACTAGGAATTTATTAGTAATACTGGAGAAATCAAGTTTTGCTAGAGCATTGAGAAAAGCAGTTAAAAATAAAATCAGTGTGGCTGGTGTGATAGTGTAGTGGACAGGGTATCTGCCTTGCCTGTAGCCGATCTGGATTTGATCCTTGACATCCCATAGTCTCCTGAGTCCTGCCAAGACTGATGCCTTATCACAGAGCCAGGAGTAAGCCCTGTTCATAGGCAGGTGTCACCCAAAAACTCCAAAACTAAATAAATCAAATCAGTGAGTAACACAGAGAAGTAATTTTTAAAAAATAAATTATAGCCTAAAAAGTAAAATGAAATGCAAATGCCATTCTGGGAATGTGACTCAGTAGTAGAAAATATGCCTTGCATGTATGAAGTTCTGGGGTTAATCTCCTGCCCTCCCCCCACCAAAAATAAAACAACAAATGGGAAAGAAAAGTTAAAATGATTTTACATTTAGCAAATTTTAATAATCACTTACCAATTTCTTGTTGTGATGAGAGGGGATTTATATTTACTGCAGAATGTTCATCAAACTGAAAAAATAATTTTCTTTAAATGTTACTCAAAGAATCTAGAGAATAGTATATAAAACATAGCTAAATCTAAATTTTACTTCATCTAATAAGTAGACTTATAACACACAAACAGCAATTTTTATATAAAACATTACATTAAAACATATCTATATTCAAAATCTATCAAGATCTACTGAAAGATCTTCAGAGATAGTACAGCAGGTAGGGCACTTGCCTTGCACACTACTGACCTGGGTTAGAGCCACAGCACACCGTATGGTCCCTCAAGCACCATCAAAATGACACCGAAGCACAAGCCAGGAGTAAGCCCTGTGCATCACCAGGTGTGGCTCCAAAATCAAAACCAAAAAGGCCTACTCATTTGGTTCTGGCAGTAAATGAAATATTAATAGCAATATATACCAGACTTTTGTTTGGGGGGGCACACCTTGCTGTGCTTAGGGTTTGCTCTTATATCTGTGCTTGGGATCACTATTGGTAGAGCTCAAAGGACCACATGGGGAGCCAGGGATTGAAACCAGGTCAGTCACATCCAACGAAAGTGGCCTACCTGCTGTACTATCTCTCCAGCCAACTCCTCTAGTTTTTTTGCCCAGGTAATTCTTCTTTCTCTAAATATTTGGTATGTACTTCTTCTAGAGTATTTTATGGTTGATATTTCAAATTTTGATGCATATTTAATTTTCATTAGTATATAATGAGCATATAGTTCTGTTATTTTTATATTTTCTTATTCATCCAATTAATTACATTTAATTATCTATCCTATAATTTTATCTTTTTATAATAAGCCACATTTTTCACTATCAATTCATCGTTGGTTTATAATACTACTGAATTTGCAGGGTTCAGCTTCACACCTATTTGTATAAACTTAACTACATCCACCACCAAAATTCATGTGTTCACATCTTGATCATCTAAATTATTTCTTTCGAATACTTTCTAGTTTGTACCACTTACACAGCAATCACTGTACCATTTTCACTCTATTTAAATTCTTTAAGTTTTGTAGGCTGTTTAAATATGGAAAAAAGTGATGTTCTCCATTATAAGTCCTCTATTCCATAAAGTTCTCCTATTGTTACCTATAGGATCTATGATAATCCACATCCCTACTTTAAGTAAATGGTCCATTTTCTTCAAAAATTTATAAATTTTGTCATTTTACACCAAAAAAATAAATTTCATCTTTTTATGTATATAAACTCAATCAATATTCACAGAGCAATAGCACAGTGGTAGGTCGTTTGCTTTACAAGCGGCCAACATGGCCGACCCGAGTTCGATTCCTCCGCCACACTTGGAGAGCCTGGCAAGCTACCAAGAGTATCTCGCTCGCATGGCAGAGCCTGGCAAGCTACCCGTGACATATTCGATATGCCAAACACAGTAACAACAAGTCTCATTGATGGAGACGTTACTGGGCCCGCTCGAGCAAATCGATGAACAACGGGAGGACCATGACCGTGACCAATATTCACAAACTAAGTTAAAAACTACTTGTATTTTACAAATAAGAAACATCAAGTTTCATATCTAAATCCCACATCCTAGACACACTCAAGTAATCTAGCTTTAGAGACTACACTACGATTTGTCTACTGATGAAATAAAATGTTTTAATTTTAGTTTCAATTACTAAGCACAGAGATAGCACTTTTTCATGATTTTGATTACTTAACATTAGAACACTATTGGAAAATTTTTACATCTTTTAAAATAACCAATGAAAATGTTGTTCTCTCTGTACACACGTGCAAATAAAAATGTCAACCTCAAACCTGGAGCATATGTATGAGTGATGATATATGAAATTTGTTTACAAGTTAAGCACATGAACTGTAAAGCCAATTAATTCTTAGACTTCCTTTAACTGTCATTAAAATTATCCCTGTACTGAGATGCCTTTTTTTATCAATTTGGGGAATCTTAAAAACAAAAAGATAATGGGAAACACTGTTATATGATACTAAAAATATTTTTAATTGCCTCTGTTTTATGAGGTCGGTGGTGAAGGGTCTTTGGCACTTTAGTGGTAATGTAAGTGTAATAATTTTACATACAAAAAAATTAACATTATTATATTATCTCAGTTACAACTTTAAAAACTGCCTCAGTTTTTCTCTGTTCCAAGACAGAGTACTCAAGAACTAATATTACAGTGGTAGGGTGTTTGCCTTGGATGCAGCCAAACAAGACTGGATCACCAGCACCCCATTATTGTCCCTGAGCACCACCAGAGAAATTCCTGATTGCAGAGCCAAGAGTAAACCCCTGTGCATGTCCAAGTGTGGCCCCATAAACAAACAAACAGGGGGTATGGTGCCGCCAGCAGGTCAATCTGTACCTGTGAGACGAGTGCATCAGCAGCCTGATGGTGACTTCAGACTTCCAGACACCCCAAAGTTGCTGCTGTGCCTTTGGCCAGACCCAAAAAAATTGGGGCAAAGTTTACCAAGAAAGTAAACAGCCAAAATTAAGGTATGTGGGAGACACACCCACAAACCACCTCAGACTCAGCTATATAATTGTAGGCAAAGCCTCTCTGGTTCCTGATAGAACTGCTTAATGGCCTTGATCCCAGAGACTCAGAAACAAATCTCAAAACCCAGCGGCTTTTGGCAGAAATGCATCCGGTCCCTGCAAGGCTACCGTCACCATGCCAACCCAGGTGGGAATAGGTTTTGTGCCTTGGCCTGTCCCCCGTAGCGGCCAGGTGGCCATCATCCTCCAGAGGTCACTGGCCAGTCAGGTTTGGGTCCGCAGTGATGAGACACGTGGGGCCTCACAGGATGGGGGTGGAGCCGGCCCTTTCGTCCCCATCCCAATGAGACCCCGAGTCGCCGCCCACAAACAGCCTCTCTGCTCCTGACCAAGCCGCTTAATGGCCATGATCCCAGAGACTCAGAAACAAAAATCGGAACCCAGCAGCTTTTGGTAGAAATGCGTCTGGTCCCTGCAGTAGGTTACCAGTGCTGGGCAACCCAGGTGGGAATAGGTTTTGTCCCTTGGCATGTTCCCCCTGGCGGCCCGGTGGCCACCATCCTCCAGAGATCACTGGACGGTCAGGTTTGGGTCCGCAGTGACGAGACACTCAGGACCTCATGGGATGGGGGTGGTGCTGGCCCTTTCCTCCCCATCCCAACAATACCCTGAGTCGCTGGCCACAAATGGCCTCTCTGGCTCCTGATCAAGCTGCTTGATGGCCATGATCCCAGAGACTCAGAAACAAATCTCAGAACCCAGCGGCTTTTGGCAGAAACACGTCTGGACTGCGCTGTAGGTTACTGTCACCAGGCCACCCCAGGGGGGAAAGGGTGCTGTTCCTTCACTTGCTCCCCCTTGGTGGCTCGGTGGCCGCCATCTGCCAGAGGCCACTAGACAGTCAGGTTTGGGCCCACAGTGATGAAGACACCTGGGATCTCACGGGACAGGGATAGAGCTGGCCCTTTCCTCCTTGTTCCAACAAGACCCTGAGTCACCGCCCACAAATGGCTTCTCTGACTCCTGATCAATCCACTTAATGGACATGATTCCAGAGATTCAGAAACAAATCTCGGCACTCAGCAGCTTTTGGCAGAAATGTGTCTGAATCACGCAATAGGTTACTGTCATCGGGCCACCCCAGGGGGGAAAGGGTGCTGTCCCTCCACCTGCTCCCCCTTGGTGGCTCAGTGGCCGCCATTCCCCAGAGACCATTGGACAGTCAGGTTTGGACCCTCAGTGACAAGACACGCGGGACCTAATGGGATGGGGTTGGAACCAGCCCTTTCCTCCCTGCCCCAACAAGACCCCAAGTCACCACCCACGAATGGCCTCTCTGGCTCCTGATCAAGCCGCTTAATGGTCGTGATCCCAGAGACTCAGAAACAAATCTCAGAACCCAGCGACTTTTGGCAGAAATGCGTCTGGGCCCTGCAGTAAGTTATCAGCTCTGGGCCACCCAAGGTGGGAATAGGTTTCATGCCTTGGCCTGTTCCCCCTGGCGGCCCGGTAGCCGCCATCCTCCAGAGGCCACTGGACAGTCAGGTTTGGGTTCTCAGTGAAGAAACACACGTGGCCTCATGGGATGAGGGTGGAGCCAGCCCTTTCCTCCCCATCCCAAAAAGACCCCAAGTTGCTGGCCACAAACGGCCTCTCTGGGTCCTGATTAAGCTGCTTAATGGCCATGATCCCAGAGACTCTGGAACAACTCTCAGAACGCAGCAGGTTTTGGCAGAAATCCCTCCAAATTTAATTGTCAAAATTTCGGAATTTCAAAATCGCATGGCCACTACTGCAGCCATGCAACATCATATGTTATTCTTAACCAGCAATAGAAAACAAGTTGTCTACTGTTGCCTTTTCGGCAGATCTGAGTGTTGGGGTAAAATCCCAAATAATATGGTGGGTCTGGTGTCAAAATATTGAATGTAATCAAAGTAGAGAGAGAGAGTAATGTGGAAATCATCTGCCCCACGGGTAGGGGGAAGGTGTAGGATGGGGGAACACTGGGGTTTTTGGGTGTGGTGAATGGGAACTGGTGAAGGTACAGGTGTTTCATTGTATGACCAAGACTTAAACCCGAAAGCTTTGCAACTGCTCTCACAGTGATTCAATAAGGTAAAAGGTAAAGGTAAAGGCCCTCCCGTTGATCGTCGATTTGCTCGAGCGGGCCCAGTAACGTCTCCATTGGAGACTTTGTTGTTACTGTGTCTGGCATATCAAATACTCTCGGTAGCTTGCCGGGCTCTCCGAGAGGGGCGGAGGAATCGAACTCGGGTCGGCCATGTTGGCCGCTTGTAAGGCGAACGCCCTACCGCTGTGCTATCGTTAAAGCACCCAGTGATTCAATAAATAAAATTATAAAAAATGAAAAAAACACACACAAACAAACAAAAACTGGGTTCTGGAGCCAAAGAGATAACATAGTGGCTAGAGCACTTGACTTGTAGCAGCCCAGGCAGCCAGGATTAGATCCCCAGTACTCCATATGGTCAGGACTGATCCTTGAGCACTGGAGTAAGCCCTGAGCAACAAAAGGTGTGTGTCAGTACCCCCACCTCAAAATGAAACAAAACAAAACACTAGGTTCTCATGTTACCTGATCTGATGGCATTTCTGAATCAAATATAGCAGAATCAAATAAATTCAATCCAGGAGATCTAGAAGTATACGTTGCAAGGAATGAAAATCCAGGAGAGTCCTTTTTTGTATGACCTTCAGTTACTGTATTTCTATTTCTGTTAGAGAAATAAAGATCATTAAAAATGTTTTAAAATCCATTAAATACTACAGTCTTAGAAACATCATAAGCAACGTTGTAAAAACAAAAATTATCACAGTAGGAAAAGGGATAAGTTAGTAATTAATTCATGAAGAGGATGATTTTTGAGAGAATAATGCTAAATACAATAGAAATACCAATTTTGAACCTCCCATAGCACTGCCATGTTTACTCACCTACCAGTCCTGCTCTACTGATTCATGACTAAACTCGGAGGAGATGCAAGACAAGAAGCTAAAATTTATGGATACACCAGTGCCACCCCAAGCTGAAAACTCTAGAGGTGCCCTAAGTGAGCAGGACAGGCCAAGTCCCTGCTCTGCCAAAGTCTCAGGAGCCACACTCACACACCACTGCTGCAAGCCCACTGTTTCACTAATACTCAGCAGAGACACCAACTGCAAAAAATTTCATATACCCAGGTATTCAGGCTGAGAATTCTGAGGTCTTCTCAGAGTGGGCACAAGTAGCCTCCCCCCACCCCACTCCACTGTACTTACAGAAGCCCCAGCAGCCAGACCCACCTCCCACAGACACCTCCAAATTCCTAAATACATAAATTCCAGTAGGAGCACTCCAAAGTAGATGGGAAAGTAACAAAGAAGCTGTCCAAACTTAATAAACAAAAATAACAGAAGACTCAACATGCAACAAACAATTTAGCAAATCCTTAAGCATGGAGTTAACAATCCTGTGGCCAGATACAACACTAAATTCACATAAAAATGATTTTTAAACATCAATTTTTATATTGTTATCTAATCTTTTTCAATTCTATAACTGTATCAACAGTTGTAGCTTTTGTCTACATTTAAAAAATAAAGACAGAAATAAAAAAATAATTGTGGAATAAGAACAATTTCTTGCGGGCAGGCTACCGAGAGTATCCTGCCCGCAAGGCAGAGTCTGGCAAACTCCCCATGGCATATTTGATATGCCAAAACCCAGTAACAATGATGGGTCTCATTCCCCTGACCCTAAAAGAGCCTTGAATGTGGCACTTTCTAAAATCTCAGGGCTAGGACAAAGGAGACATTACTGGAGCCTGCTCGAGGAAATCGATGAACAACAGGATGACAGTCATACAGTGAACAATTTCTACTAGGGATGTACTATCAGGCTCTATTCAAGATATTTTCATCATTATTAACTTATTCTTCAAAATAATCCTATAAAATATCTATTATTACTTCAGTTTTAAGAAGAGGATTTTGAAGCATAATGCTTTAAAAGAGGTCCAGAGAGATAGTACAGAGGCAGAACACTTGTCTTGCACACAGTCAACCCAGGTTCAATCCCTCCCTGTAACCTTATATGGTTCTCTGAGCACACTAGGAGTGATCCCTGAGCACAGAGCCAGGAGTAAGCCCTGATTACATCTGGGTGTGGCCCAAAACAAACAAAAATGTAGTCCCAGAATTAGTTGAATGCAGCAAACTACTTTTGAAAGTTCAATTTTTTAGGTGGGACACTCCTGGTGCTGCTCAGGGGATCTTTGAGCTCTGAGATCTGTGCTCAGTATCTCTCCTGGAGGTTCTTACAGAACCATCCAGTACCTGGGATCAAAGTTGGGCCTCCTACATCCAAAGCAAGTGCTCATCCTGGTAAACTATCCTCCAGACCTTAGAAGTCCAAACTCTTAATCCTAATGTAGTGATATCCCCCAAAATCTTGAAAGTCAGTAAGAAGATATTCCATCTTAATGAGTATCTGGGGCCTGGATCACTCGATCACTTGACTTCCCGTTAATCATCGATTTGCTCGAGTGGGCGCTAGTAACGTCTACATTCATCCCTGTCGTGTTCTAGTGTAGCCTAATGGCATCTGCTCATTCTAGGAACACGAAGAGCCTCAAACCGATCGTTCAGGGTCTTGATGAAGTCTGACCATCTGGTAGGTGGGTGGCCACGCGGTCTTTTGATTTCCCGTGGAATCCAGTCAGTAATGGCTCTAGTCCAGCGGTCATCTCCAAATCTCATTATGTGTCCAGCCCATCCGATTTTCGACGTCTGGCAAACGAGACAGCGTCCCTGATTCTTGACCATCAATGGAGGTTGGAACTCCAGATTCTTTCTCTCATTTGAGTGAAACGTGATACTTCAAGCATAGCTCTTTCCATTCCTCTTTGGGAGACCCAAATAATGTTCTCATCCTGTTTTTGTAGGGCCCAGGTCTCTGAGGCGAATGTTAATGCAGGAAGAACAGTGGGATCGAAGAGATGTGCCCGAAGCCGGAGGTTCTTCGTCCTCTTAGCTATTTCTTCCACGCTCTTGAAGGCGTTCCAAGCTGCCCTCTTCCTCCTGTGCAACTCAGGTGCCAGGTCATTAGTCAGCTAATTCAGCTGTAGTCCAACTCATGGTCGAAGTTGACCAGCATTTGTGCTGCTTGGCTAATGTTTGGTGTTATTAGAACAATGTCATCAGCAAAGCGGAGGTGGTGTAGTTGCCAACCGTCTTATCTTTACTCCCATTCCTTCCTATTCCAGTTGTCGCATGACATTCTCAAGGGTGGCACTGAAGAGTTTTGGTGAAATGGTATCACCCTTCTGAACCTCCCTCTTGACATCGATGATCACTTCTTTGTAGAATGGTGAGATCCTGGTAGTGAATCCATAATACATCTCACAGAGGATCCTGATGTGCTGAGTATGAACACCCTGATTGACTAGGGCTTCAATGACTGTTTTCGTCTCAACAGAATCAAAGGCCTTCTTTAAATCAATGAACGTTAGACAGCGGCATCTTGAACTCCCGAGAAACCTCAATGAGCTTGGTTATCATGTGGATATGGTCGATCATGCTGAATCCTTTGCGGAACACGGCTTGCTCGTGTGGTTGTCCTTCATCTAGTGTTCTGGCAATCCTATTCAGGATGACTTGAGTGAACAGCTTGTAGATGACAGATAATAGGCAGTGGGGCGATCGTTGCCAATGTCATGGATGTCTCCCTTCTTGTACAGTAGTACATTCCTGCTGGTTTTCCATTGGGTTGGAACCTTGCATTCGTGAAGAGCTGAGCCAGTGTATTGATGAGTACTGATGGCAGGTTCTTCAGGTGTTCAGATCTGACCTTGTCTGGGCCAGGTGCTATTTGTTTATTTACCAATGAAATGGCGTGTTGGATTTCAGAAGGGAGAACGTTGGGAACAACATATCCATCCTGCAGAATTTGGTATTTGGTATGTGGGTAAGTGGACATATCTGGGACCCTTACAGATTATTGGATAAAGGAGATAATTAAATGATTCATAAATAACAACTGGACACAAAAGTATACGAAAACATAAACACAAAAGTATGCCAACACATTAAAAGCAAGAACAGCCTTAGTTTGAAACTTAACTCCATTAAAGATGGAGTGTCACTTAAGAAAATAAAGTACTTGCATCTCACAAAGTTGTGAAAATAAACAGAACTCATAAAATGTTTATACATGGTCAGTATATTACTGTTAAAAATGACAGATGCCAATAGATCTCCCTATTTACAAGGCCATTGTTGAGTCTGTTAAATTTACAAAAAAATTTGCTCATCTATAAAAGAGTAAACACATGATTGTCACATTCTTTATAGTTCTCATATTTGATTAAGTTCCACTTTGAACATGCTGTTCTTCAGTCAACAATATGACAATAAAGAATAGTACAGTGGCTAAGGTGCTTGTCTTGCACAAAGCGAACCTGGGTTCAATTTCCAGCATCCCATATTGTCCCTGAGCCTGCCAGGAGAAGTGATCCCTGAGTGCAAAGGCAGCAGTAACTCCTGAGCATTGCTGGGTGTGGCCCCAAAACAAAAACAAACAGACAAAAATAAGGTGCCAGAATGATAGTACAGCAGGGAGGGAGCTTGCCTTGCACAGGCAATTCCAGGCTTCCCATGTAAGCCCCTGAGTAATTCCTGAGTGCCAAGCCATGAGTATCACCTAAGCACACCTCTGGGTATGTCCCCAGAATAAAACAAGAGCAATATTAAAAACAACCGATATGACAATAATACATAAAATCCTATCAACTTAAAGTACAGAAGTAAAATACAGACAAGAGACCCCTGATCCAGTAGAATCTATTATAACGTTTTAGAGGAATTTCAGGGTTCAGTGTTAAGAGAATGAAGTAAAGAAAGGTTAAATGCAACACTATATTCTTGACTTCACTAAAAATAATGTAGTTTCCAAAGTCAAATAAAAGTATAGATTATTAATGCCAACCAAAGTTAATAAAGAGAATGGTATTTCTTGCAATAATCATTAAATTACAACAAAAGAATAGACTGTGAGAATTTATGTTGATACTTACAATCTACTATATATGACAATATTACACTTAAAATTTGTTCATACTTTTATTTATCCTTTGGAAAATCTTAAATCTAAATAATCTTATTTTGGATAGTACTCAGAGTCTATGACAATACTCAGTTAAATATTACCAGAAAATAGTAGAAAACATTTAATAAAACAAGAATCGCAGCACATTCAAATAGAGTGATTCAAATAGAGTGATAGGTAAATAATAGGTACATAACATTCTCCTAGTCTCTCACTTCATTGTATATTTTAAATATTCCATAATGAAGCCTATAAGTTACAGAACCAAGGCATTTTATTCTCATCAATTTGTGTAAAATTTCATGCAAGATGTATACTCATTTAGTATAATCATCAATTAATAACCTACTTTTCAAATGGTGGAGTTTTAGAGAACAGTATTTTCTCCAAAGATTCAGGAGTTTTCGTAGATTCAGTTCTCAAAAACATAGGTATTTCAGGAGTTTGTGGGAAATTCTCAGTCCTTTCTTCTACTTCATCACTATTAATTTCTGCTGGCTTTTCAAAAATTTCTGTACCTATAACCTGCATATTAAAAGTAACAACAGTACACAAATTAATGTTGTTATATTAATAAAAATACATGCAATGTTTTTATTAATGCTACTTAATTAAAGACAACTAAGAGGTTAGATACATAGTACAAGGTTTAAGTTGCTCGTCTTGCAAGAGGATGACCCTGATTTGATCCTTGGTACCATCTGGTCCTCCAAGCATCACCTCCAAGATGCCTTGGCACAGAGCTAGGTATAATCCCTGAGAACAGCCAGATATGTCCCCTAACCAAAATGAAACATAAGAAGTAAAGTAAGAGTACATTTTTGAAACAGATATCAAATAGATCTATTTGGAAAAATGAAAAAAAAAAATCATCTATTTTTTACTTTCTTCCTAAAAAAAGCAAATGATAAACAGAACATATTCAAATTGTTGAATAAATGTTTAGGACTGATGTTTCTTTTTCTGTTTCTTGTGCCACACACCCAGTGGTACTTAGGGAGTGCTCCTGGCAGTGCTGGGATTATGCAGTGATGGGGAGCAAACCTGGGTCCCCCACATGTAAAGCATGTGCTCTGATCCCTTGACCCCTCCCCTGCCCACGAATGATTGTCTCATTTGTTTGTAATTTTTTTTTTTTTGGTTTGGGGGCCACACTTAAAGCTGTTTAGGGCTTACTCATGGCTCTGCTCTCAGGGATCACTCCTGATGGGCTCAGGGGATGCTGGGAATTGAAACCAGGTTAGCTATGTGTAAGACAAACACCCTACCTGCTATACTCTCTCTCTGGTCCCAAGTGATGTCTCTATACAAATTTCTACATCAAGCTCTAGATAAGGATGGGAAACCATTTTTCTACCAAGGGCCATTTGAATATTTATATATGTGGACCAAATAATACAGAGAGAAGAGCCTGTGGCAACCTATATTATGTGTGCCTTATCCTGTTTTAGGGTCAGACCACATGATTTTACAGACCTTCATAGGATTAACCTGTGGGCAAGATGTCTGCCACACTACTGAATTATATAATTTCATGACATTTGAAAAAGCAATCTTGGGTCTCACTGTGCTATATGTACCTTTCATAAATTCTCATTAGATGCTCTCTGTAAAGATTGAAAACTGAATATTAAATTTCCTTATATAATTTTTATAAAACTATAAATATGATTTCTCAAATGTTTGTTACTCCAAAATTCATTACAGAAACACAACTGGAGTGTTAAAATGTGTTTTTTTCCTTATAATAGGAAACTGCTATGTTATTTTTAACCCTTAGTATTTATGGTAAATTATACATGAGTTTTCCACCTTAAAAATATTTTGAAGATATTTTTGTGGCAACTATCAGTAATAAACTGTTTCAGAATCTCATCAAATAATACCAAACAAAACTGTCTTGTCAAGCCGTGACTTAGCTGTTGTGTCAAGATATATATAGTTGACTGTTGAAAATAGTACATATTTATGTAAACCTTTTGAGACTTCAATTTTAATAAAAGAAACTCTTTTAAGGACAGAATTTCTAACACCACAGTAAACTAATAATATCTAGACCTCATGTAACAGCCCTCATTACACTATATCAAAAATTAAAATAAAATAAATATTTTAAATTTTATGTTTTGCTTTAAAAATAAACTATAAAGACCATAAAGAGAAAAAGACAAACTAAAAAGAAAACTATGTGTAGGAAAGCGAGCATTTCACTTACTTGTGAAGAACATTTTAATTCTCTTAATTGTCTTCCTGTTCCTTTTTCTCCATACTCAGCATCTGTTATATGAGAACACTATTTTTTTCTTTTTTGTAATTTCATTGAAAATTAAAACTTAGCTGAACCACATGAAATTATGTAAATATCAACCAGGCCCCCCAAAAGGAACATTATGAATAAAGATTTCAATTCCTCATATCCTCCTCCACTGAGGTAACCACTAGTTTTTTGTTGTTTGATTTTTTCTTTTGCTTTTGGGGTCACACTAGGTGATGCTCTGGCTCTACACTCAAGAATTACTCCTGGCAGTGCTTGGGGGACCATATGGGATGCTGGGGATTGAACCCAGGTCGGGTGTGTACAAGGCAAATGCCCTACCTGGTGTACTATCGCTCTGGCCCCAGGTAACCACTATTGACTTTTTTATTTAGTTTTTGGGTCACACCTGAAAATGCTTAAGGGTCACTAGTGACTCTGCACTCAGGAATTACTTCTGGCAGTGCTAAGGGGACATTATGGGATGCTGGGAATCAAACCAGGTTCCAGCACAAACAAGGCAAGCACCTTCCCCACTGCTTATCTCTCCATCCTACCACTTTAATTTTATGATAATAGTTTCCTTTCTCGAGTATTAGTTCTAGACAGTAATATTTAATAACTATAAACAACAGTTTTCCTATTTAAAATGCAATATAATAATTAAATGAGTTCTTGATTTTTTGTTTAGCATATGCTTGTAAAATTTATCTACATTGCTACATATAGTTTATTAATTTCTATGGATGCAAAGTATTTCATATCTAAACACAGAACAATATATCCATTTAACTTCAAATGGGTATTTAGGGTTTTCTGCTTTGAGAAGAAGAAATAATGCTATAAACATTATTTTATGTTATAAAATAAAAAACTGAGGTAACCACTAGTTTGCATGAACATACTTCTGTTACTCTAGAAATGTACTTAAGATTAGAATTACAAGGTACAAGTATGTACACTTTCATTTTCAAAAACTGTCATTGTCACTGTCCTCCAGTTTTTCATCGATTTGCTCAAGCGGACACCAGTAACGTCTCCATTGTGAGAGTCATTACTGTTTTTGGCATATCAAACACGCCATGGGGAGCTTGCCAGGCTCTGCCAAGTGGGCAGGATACTCTCGGTAGCTTGCCGGGCTCTCCAAGAGAGATGGAGGAATCAAACCCAGGTCGGCTGTGTGCAAGGCAAACCGCCCTACCTGCTGTGCTATTGCTCCAGCCCTTCAAAAACTGTACCAGTTTTTACTGTAGCAAGCAGCCACCCTAAGCTACTCTAGGAAATCAATCTCACCACATAAAATTATTAGTTCCAATTATAATTTGGGTATGATCTCAACATACAGTGATAAATGTCGGTTTGGTAGCTGTGAGATTCTCTATTGGTCTACATTCTCACCAATATTTATAAAAGCCAAACAATTTTGCTAATTATATATAATTATAGTTTATTTAATATATTTTTTCATTTAAATGATTTGTTAATAATATTACATGTGTGTCAAAAAATTTTTCTATTTGAAGTGCCTATTTGTATATTTTGTGCATAGTTCTAATTGGGGTGCCTTTTTCTTCTTTTTATATAAGTTCTTTATGTTTTTGAAAAATGTCCTTTGATAGGGATAGAGCGATAGCACAGTGGTAGGGTGTTTGCCTTGCACACAGCCAACATGGCTGACCCGAGTTTGATTCTTCCGCCCCTCTCAGAGAGCCTGGCAAGCTACTGAGAGTATCTCGCCCACACGGCAGAGCCTGGCAAACTACCCACGATGTATTCGATATGCCAAACACAGTAACAACAAAATCTCTAATGGAGATGTTACTGGGCCCGCTCGAGCAAATCGATGAACAACAGGAGGACAGTGACAGTGACAGTCCTCCGATAGTCTTTTTTGTAATTCTTAAAAATTTTTATTAAAAAGCCATGATTTACAAATTTTACAAAACTATTTACTGATAGTTGAGTTTTAGGCATAAAATAATTCATAAAATTCATTAAAAAAAACTCCACGATACACTCTGATTTGGTGACTTGTCTTTCATACTTTCTATGGCATCTACTGAATAAAAATAGTTTTCATATAGACAATTATGTCATTCTTTTTGTAATTGGGTTTTAAAATTTTTAAATAAAACCTTTTCTATTTTGAAACTATTATTTTATTTCCCTCCACTCACAGAGAATACAGAGATTGACACAAAGCATATGCTCTACCCATAAGCCTTGATATTTTGATTTTACTGAGATGTTGGTTTACAAGACTGTATTTAGGAGATGGAGAGAGAGTAGAGCAGGCAGGGTACTTTCCTTGCATGCAGCTGACCCAGGTTTGGTTCCTGGGACCTGGTATGGTCCCAGGAGACCACCAGGAGTAATCCCTGAACACAGAGTCAAGAGTACAACCAGGAGTGTCCCAGTAACAAAAACAAAACCAAAAAAATTATATCTAGGGGTACAATTTTGCTTTTCTTCCAAATGTATGTTACCACACCATACCTACCACCAAAGTACCAATATACCTCCATCATAGAACACTGAACTCTCCAACTTCATTCCTTTACTCATACCTCCCTCTTCCTCCTCTAGTTTCTCAGTTTTTCAGTCTGAATTCAAGGGTTTGTTTGAATTTAATTTTACCCATTCCCTTGCTTTTCTTTTGTATCCCACATATGAGTGGCATTCAATATTTGTCTTTCCTTATTTTGCATGGTATGAACCCTGTTCCATCACTGTTTTATGTTGTCTCAAAACTCAAACTTTACCTGTTCTTATAGGTGGGTATTATTACATGCATATGTACATTTTCTTTATCTATACATCTGTCCCTAGGCAATAAAGATATTTCTGTATATTGACAGTCTATAAGCTTTATAATTATGCCCCTTGCATTTAAGAAACAACTATTATTTTCAACATACAACATTCTTGGGGCTGGATCGATAGTATAGCAGGTAGGGCGTTTGCCTTGCACGCAGCCGACCTGGGTTAGATCCCCAACATTCCATATGGTACCCTGAGCACCATTAGGAGTAATGCCTGAGGGCAGAGCCAGGAGTAACCCCTGTGCATTGTTGGGTGTGACCCAAAAAGCCAAAAAAAATCCCCAAACAAACAAAAAAAAACATACAACATTTTTCAATAAACAGACTTTTATTGAAGAGCTAGAGTGGTTAAGGTTCTTCTCTTGCAAGTAGCTGACCCCACTTAGATTCCTAACACCATATATAGTCCCCTGAGTACTACCAGAAATGACTACTAAGCAGAGGTAAGAGTGCCATCTGAACATCACTGGGTGTGACCCAAGCATGCAAGACAAGAGTCCTACCCACTGTACTATTTCTCCAGCCCAACACTATCAAGTTGGCACATATAGATAATTAATAAGCAGGTGGAACCGATCACCTGTGACAGGTAAATAATTCTTTCAGAATAAAAGAATATCCAGCTTCACAGAATAACCATATTGGCTGTGTCTCATACCCATATTGGCTGAGTCTTAAAACCATGTAGTATGAGTATTATACCAAGATAAACTCATATTATATGATTATTCTGAATATGCTTATAGTTACAGAATTTTATGCTCAAAGAATTAACCATCTCAAAACCTGAAAATAAAAGTCAGTTCTACAGATGACTGGTTAACGAAACTTTGGTACATTTACACAATGGAGTACTATGTAGCTGTTAGAAAAGATGAAATCCTGAAATTTACATATCAGTGGTACTACATGGAAAGTATCATGTTAAGCGAAATGAGTCAGAAAGAGAGGGATAGACATAGAAAGATCGCATTCATCTGGGGAACATAAAGTAACAAAATAGGAGACAAACACCCAACAATAGCCGAGATTAGTACCAGGAATTTTGCTCCATGGCTTAGAGGCCAGCCACACATGCTAGGGGAAAAGGGACCTCAGATTGAGAAGGGAACACCAAATAAAGGGTGTTGGGAGGATCCTCCCAGGATGGGAGAAGCACGCTGAAAGTAGACTATAGGCCAAACATGATTGTCACCCATTGCCTCTTTTGCAAACCACAACACCCAAAAGGAGAGAGAGAACAAAAGGGAATGCCCTGCCACAGAGGCAGGGTGGGATGGGGGGGATGGAGGGTGGGAGGGATACTGGGATCCGTGGTGGTGGGAAATAGGCACTGGTGGAGGGATGAGTATTTGATCACTGTATAATTGAAACCCAAGCACAAAAATTTGTAAGTCTACAACTGTACCTCATGGTGTGTCACTAATAAAAATTTAAAAATTAAAAAAAAATGTCAATTCTATGTGCTAACATTGCTGGAGTGATAGCACAGCAGGTAAGGTGTTTGCCTTGTATGCGGCCAACCCAAGTTCAATTTCTCCGTCCCTCCCGAATGGCCCGGCAAGCTACCGAGAGTATCCTGCTCACACAGCAGAGCCTGGCAAGCTGCCTGTGGCGTATTCAAACAGTAACAACAAGTCTCACAATGGAGATGTTACTGGTGCACGCTTGAGCAAATCGATGAACAATGGGAAGACAGTGCCACAGTGCTATCTTTGTGCTACAGATAAAAAAGTGTTACTTTTATATAGTGGAATAATCATTATGCATTACCTAAATCTCTTTTTTCAAACCACTGATTGCAATTTGATTGTTTCTGTGGCGTTAACAACCTAAAAAAAAAAAAACAGTAAATTTTTTAATTATTTTCAGAGTCGATAATTCTAAAAATAAAAGAATTTTCTATTTTTAAGTTACCTGAACTGCATAAAATCTTGAGAACTTTTAATTGTCTTAATATGTGAACATTTCAAATGTTTATTCATTGAAGAATCACTAAATACCTGAATAAAAGAAATTAAGCGTAAGAATTGGACACAAAAAAATAAAAACTTTTTGTTATGGCTACTCAGTGTTCTGCATTAGCATTGTCAACCTTACCATCATCACATTATCAATATCAAAAACTACAAATAATAACTGAAATCACTTTCTTATAAAACATTAAATCAAATACTGAGAAACAAGAAAAGTTTAATATTTTCAAATAATTTGATGCATTTAATGAGTATAATAGCTATCCCTGGCAATATTTCTACATTTTAAGTAAACAAATATCCCATATGCCTGTGAATCTTAGCATTTTATCAACTAAACATATGAGTTCTGAGTCTATTCTCTATGATATCTCAAAATCATGGGAAATAAAATAAGTTGCTTTATCGTCTTGTTATTTTTTCTATTTTTTAATTTTTAATGAATCACTGTGAGGTCTGGAGCGATAGCACAGCGGTAGGGCGTTCGCTTTACAAGCAGCCAACATGGTCGACCCGAGTTCGATTCCTCCGCCCCTCTCAGAGAGCCCGGCAAGCTACCGAGAGTATTGGATATGCCAGACACAGTAACAACAAAGTCTCCAGTGGAGACGTTACTGGGCCCGCTCGAGCAAATCGACGATCAACGGGAGGGCCTTTACCTTTACCTTTACCACTGTGAGGTAGTTACAGACATACAAACTTTTGTGATTACGTTTCAGTCATACAATGATCAAGTACCCTTCCCTCCACCAGTGCCCATTCTCCACCACCAATATTCCCAGTATCCCTCCCAGTACCACCCCCATCCCTGCCCTGCATCTGTGGCAGGCAAATTCTCTTTTACCCGCTCTCATTTTGGGTGTTATGGTTTGCAATACAGGTACTGAGTGGTCATCATGTTCAGTCCATAGTTTACTTTCAGCAAACATCTCCCATCCTGAGCAATCCCTTCAAGCATCATTTACTTGGTGGTCCCGTCTCTATCTCAGATTTCCAAAGCATGTGAGGCCAGTTCCAAGCCATGGAGCAATCCTCCTGGCCCTTATCTCTACTATCCTTGAGTGTTAGTCTCCCATTATATTACCTTATATTTCATAAATGTGTGCAGTCATTCTATGTCTGTCCCTCTCTCTCTGACTCATTTCACTTAGCATGATATTCCCCATGCAGATTCATTTATATGCAAATTTCATTACTTCATCTTTTCTAACTGCTGTATAGTATTCCATGTGTAGATGTACCAAAGTTTCTTTAACCAATGGTCTGTTCTCAAGCACTCAGGTTTTTTCCAGATTCTGGCTACTGTAAATAGTGCTGCAATAAACATATAAGTACAGATATTATTTCTACTATATTTTTTGTACTTCCAGGATATTAGTACCAGAATTGGTATTGCTGGGTCAAATGGGAGCTCAATTTCTAATTTTTTACAAAACACCTATATTGTGTTTTCCAAAAGGGCTGAACCAGTCGGCATCCCCACCAGGAGTGAAGGAGAGTCCCCTTCTCCCCATATCCACACCAACACTGGTTGCTTTTGTTCTTTTGGATGTAGGCCAGTCTCTGTGGTGTGAGATGATATCTCATTGTTGTTTTGATCTGCATCTCCCTGATGATTAGTGATGAAGAGCATTTTTTCATGTGCCTTTTGGTCATTCGGAATTAATCTTTGAAAAAGTTTCTGTTCATTTCATCACCCCATTTTCTGATGGGATTGGATGTTTTCTTCTTGTAGAGTTCAACCAGTGCCTTGTATAACCTTAATATAAACCTCTATCAGATGGGTACTGGATGAATATCCTTTCCCATTCTGTAGACTGTCTTTGTATTCTTGTATTCAGGTCACTGTTTCTTTTGAGGTACAGAAGCTAAAATAAGTTGTTTTAAGGCCTGCAACTTTGCTTCATATTTCTATTAAAGAGCTAATATTTTAAGTTTTATACAATATAAATATCTAAACTACTGCTATATTGTTTATATTGTCTTTTTCAACTCTTTCATGAATCATTTTTGAAAAGTCCCTAATTTTTTTATTTGACCCAAAATAAAAACGTATTTAAAAGGAAAAGTTTAGGGGCTGGCGTGATGATACAGCAGGAAGGTGCTTACCTTGCACATTGCTGACCCAGGTTCATTCCCCAGCACCACATATGGTCTCCCAATCTGGTTCAATTTGCATTTCACAGACTCACAATGAGTCTCAAAAGAGAGCAGCACGGCACAGAGATGTTTCCCCACTCCGCGCCAGGCTGATTTCATTGGGGACCTTCGAGGGGCACAGGTGTGTCCCTACATCTGCCCCAAATGAACCCCTACAACTGCAATCTCCAGATTGAGAATCTCCAGAACCCAATAACTGCCACACACACAATAGAGCTGCACAGGCTCGTCCCAAGTCCTGATCCCAAGCAATAGAATGAACCCCCTGAAAAACCCAGGTACTCAGGACTTGTGATTGAAAACTCCAGGCTTCATGGAGTTGGGAATGAGATCCTCCCCTCATTTCCCCACCCTTCCAATTTCCTGGCAGTCTTGCCCACAAACTGCCTCTGGGCATCCTTTAAATGCATCAACAGCCATGACCCAGAGATGCACAAATGAATCTCAGAAGAGAGTAGCACTGTGCCTCTGGCACCCGATATTTAAATTTTAGAATCCCAGGATATCTCATACTATTCATAACAAGTAATACAAAATAAATTATTTAGCATCTGCCTGTGAGGCAGTTTTTGGTGGTGGTGGGAAAATTTGAAAAAATGGTGGTGGGAAGGTGTAATGATGGTGGGATTAGTATTGAAACATTGAATGTAATCAATTATTATGAGCAACTTTATAAAAATAAAATTTAAAAATTAAAAAAATTAATTTGCATTTCAGTATACTTCTGAGATCAGGCATCTTGTTCTGTTTAGTGATTACCTTCCTATAAAAGCTTTTCTGTAAAAGGTCTTATCCTTTGTCCATGTGTTTTTTATTAGTTTATAAGAATTACAATATATTTCTTTATAATATTCAATATTATGGACACTGGACCCCTTTTCCATTCTGTCATTATCTTTTAGTTTTCTTAGAAAAATGTCATGTAGGTTTTTACTTTTATGTACAGCCTTGATTAATTTGGGTTTTTTTTAATCACATGATTACAATTACTGAATTTTAATGTTTAAAAATCTTTGGGGTATTAAAAATGTTTTAGAATAGACAATGATATGCTAGCTACTGTCTTGTTAATAAGTTAAAAATCACTATTTGTACTTTAAAGTGAACTCAGAGTCTGAGACATTTTGGTAGTGGTGGTGGAGGTACAATAAATCTGTATATCAAAAAGATAAATGTTAATACTTTTATAATCATATTAACCTAAATTAATGTAATTTTTAAATTTAATAGTAGCACTGTCTATAGCACAGTCCTCCCGTTGTTCATTGATTTGCTCGAGCAGGCCCAGTAACATCTCCATTATGAGACTTCTTGTTACTGTGTTTGGCATATCAAATATGTCACAGGGAGCCTGCCAGGCTTTGCCATGCGGGTGAAATACTTATAGTAAGTTAATTTTATTATATATAATTCTATATCAACAAAAATTCACATTTTATTATCTGACAGATAAGTCCCCAAACATTTGCAGAGTGCATGCCTCATGTGTGTGAGGCACTAGGTTTGAGCCCTCCGTGTGGCCCCTATCTCCAAAAAATGTCATAATTTAAAAATAGGTTTATCATTCACTGGTATAAGTTTTCATATAACAGTATTATTTTATTAACTATAAGTGGATTCCACTTCCTTTGAAATACACTGTAACTATGTCTCAATATGAGGAATCAACATCAAGTTTGCTTCTCATTGATCCTTATTTAAAAAAATAATAGATGGAAATTCACTGAAAACTTGTTTTACTAATGGAATTGTAAAGAAAAAATAAATGAGTTGTTTATAGGTCAAAATGAGTTTGAAATTTGAGTTTGATAAATGTGGCTGTTTACTACTTTGATTCATTTTACAGCCCAAAAGTAATTTGACAAGTACATTAAATTTCTTTCCCTGGGGGCTGGAGAGATAGCATAGCGGGTAGGGAGTTTTGCTTTGCACGTGGCCAAGCCGGGTTCAATTCCCAGCATCCCATATGGTTCCCTGAGCACTGCCAGGAGTAACTCCTGAGTGCAGAGCCAGGAGTAATCCCTGTGCATCACCGGGTGTGACCCAAAAGAGAAAAAAAAATTTTTTCTTTCCCTAAGCAAAACAGTTTTTGGGGACTGAGCTATACCTTTCTGTTAAACTTTTTAAAAAACATTTTAATAAGTGAAAACAACTCTTTTGAATTGACTGAGATACTTTTTATTTATAAGTTTGATGAATACTGTAAACACTGTGAATGTTGGGCAAAGTATATTAAACGCGATATTCAAGTCCCCTTCATCCTTTTTCATCCACTTCATTTGTTTCAATGGTAGAAACAGCCAGTATTCTAGGCTATCCAAACTGGTGGATAACACTAACTAGGCTAACACTAACTGGTGGGGCCAGAATAATAGCACTGTGGGTAGGGTATTTCTTTTGCCTGTGGCCTTGCACCTAGCACCCCCAATGTATTTTAGGGACTGGAGAGATAATACAAAAACAGGGCACTTGCCTTGCATGCAGCTGCCCCAGGTTTGATCCCTGGCACTCAGTATGGTTCCCACCATAAGTGATCTCTGAGCACAGCAGAGCCAGGAAACTGATAAGTGTGGCCCCCAAACAAACAAAAAAAAGGTACTAGTAGGTATTTGTAATCGGCTTCTATAGAAGCACCTTATCTTGCTAATTCCATTTTTCTTGTTTTATTTTACTTTTTTGTTTTGGGGTCATAGTCAGCTTTACTCAGGGCTTACTCCTAGCTCTGCACTCAGGGATCATATATGACTAACAGTGCTCAGCAGACCAGATGTGATGCTGTGGATTGAAGCTGGGTTGGCTGTGTGCAAAGCAAGTGCCTTAACCTCTGTAGCTCCCTGTGCTCTCTGGAACAACTCAATCAAATTTTTATGATCACTGATTTGTTCAAAATGATTTGCGGTGCCTTGATTTCTATTTACAATGCTTTCCTGTTTTTAATTCTTCTCTTCCCCACATTTCTGCTTTGTTAAACTGGATTTTTTTCTTTCCCCTCTTTTATACTACCATTTAAAATTTACACATTTCCTATCTCTTCTGGTTATCAATCTTATATGTTTAACATAAAGGATAAATTTACATGTACAAATTTACATTTTTCTAACAACATACATAATTAGTTTATCCTATCCCTCTATTCTCAAACATAAAAAGAACTTTAGTAAATTTGGGTTTCTTTCATTTATATTACATCTTTTTAACTATATTTAATAGCATCTAGAATTTCAGTTTCAGGTTTTCAGATTTTTTAAATATCTTTGGGCTGGAGCGATAGCACAGCAGGTAGGGCGTTTGCCTTGCACGCAGCCAAAATGGCCGGCCCGAGTTCAATTCCTCCACCCCTCTCGGAGAGCCTGGCAAGCTACTGAGAGTATCTTGCCCACAGGCAAAGCCTGGCAAGCTCCCCATGACGTATTTGATATGCCAAACACAGTAACAAGAAGTCTCATAATGGAGATGTTACTGGGTCTGCTCGAGAAAATCAATGAACAACGGGAGGACAGACAGGACAGTGTTAAATATCTTTAATATCTTTGGTTTTTTGGTTCTGGGACCACACACAGTTGTGCTCAGAAGTTCTAGATCTGCAATCAGGTATCATCCCTGGTAGGACACACACGACCAATATGGAGTGCTGAGGGTTGACCCAGGTTGGCAGCATCAAGGCAAGCACCCTACCCATTGTCCTATCTCTCCAGCCCCAGTTAATACATATTCAAACTTATTAAGGCCCACTAATTACTTTAGATACCTCCCCAAAGCAATATATTTTTCAGTGTGACTTTCTCTCTGGATGGTTTTCACAAAAATATGGGAAGACAGAAGTGCCATGTAAGGAGATAGCTTGCAGGATGGTATGCTCCTTGTTTCTCATGATCATCAAGAAACATAGATAGGGCTGGAGAGATAGCTCAAATGAATGGATCACTGGTACTGCATGGTCTCTGAGCACCATAGGAAGAAGTTCTTGAGCGACAATAGTGTGGTCGAAAAACAAAACCAAAATTAAAAAAACCCTTTCAGAGTACCATTTATTCTTGTAAACCAAGATCTTATATATTCACCACTCCTACCTACAGAGTTAACCTATTGCGGAGGCCTAGACAAAGATGAGATGCTTATGAATTCAATAGATAAAATAATAGTTAAATAGACCAAATAATTCCCACTAAAGCAACCCAACCAGTAACTATTCATTTTCCTCAGACCTAGAACTTCTGCAAGAGTATTCTTCCATGTAAGTACTGGACAATTTCTCTCCTCACTCCAGTCTTTTTTGTTCTACAGAAATGTTTCATATTTTGTTCATCTACATGCAAAGCTTGGTATTTTTAAATATATTTTCTTTCTTTTAAGAAAAGCTAAACATCTGTTCAAGTTGTAATATTTAAGTATTAAGTTTTTAAGCTCTGATATTATACTTATGACTAATTCGGCATATTTCTTTCTGTTGCACACATGTGCTCACACAACACATACACACATATGCACCCCACATATACAATGTGTGCTTCCTAAGTGGAAGCACATTTGTCTTATTTAAAGTAGACATTTAAGTTATACTTTGAAAAAGAAATACCTACCTGTGTATCATCCTCTTTTTGTCCGAAGTCAATATTTGGAAGCTTTGACCACTTTGCAAAACTTTCTTCTTTTTTATCTAGGTTATTATATAGCAATGATTTTAAAAAATTCTTGATAGTGAATCAAATATTATGCCCAACATTTAACCCATCCTTGTAAATTAAAAAAATTAATGAAATATTTTATTTAAAATACAGAATTATGAAATTAAGTCTTAGTCTTATATGTTATTAAAGTTATTAATATTATAGTAATTATAAATGTAATAAAACTACATCTTTATATTCTAATTTTAGGGGTGGCACACCTAGAGGGGATTAAAGATCACTCCTGGAAGTGCTTAGGGGACCACATGTAGTCTTGGAGATCAAACCAGGGTTGACTGTGTGGAAGGAATGTGTCATATTTCTTGTACTACCTCTCTAGCCCCACAAAGCATCTTTTTAATGAGGAGCCAATGAAGATACACTAGTGCAGAGGCTGGAGTGATACTACAGGGGGTAGGTAGAGTGCTAGCCTTGCACACTGCCAGCCCAGGTTCAATACCTGGCTCCACATATGTCCCTCAGCCCCCACTTCCCCAGGAGTGATTCCTGAGCACAGCACCAGGAACTTCTTTTGTGGCCAGAGAGATAGTACAGCAGGGAGGGCACTTGCCTTGCATATGGCCGAGCTGGGTTCAACCCTGTCATACCATCCCATATGGTCTTCTGAGCAAACCTAGGAATAAGTGCTAAGCACCTCCAGGTGTGGCCTCCCCCCACCCCCACAAGAAAAATTACACTAGTGATGTTAGTAACTAAAGAGAAACAAATCCAATGTAGTTAATCTAATCCAATATAGTTTACCTAATCTGCAGATTCAACGAACATCACTCATATATCTCAAAACACAAAACTATATCCACCTTAATCATACGTGCTTATAGCACAACTTCTCAAGGAAAAAGGAAAGAATATATAATTTATTTCTGCTAGAAATTCAACCAGACCAAAATACATTTTTAAAATCATGTTATTTCTCAAAGAGAAAAAACAGGTATAGAAGTCAAAACTTGGAGCTGCAGCAATAGCACAGCAGGTAGGGCATTTGCCTTGCACGCAGCCGACCCAGGTTCGATTCCCAGCATCCTATATGGTTCCCTGAGAACCACCAGGAGTAATTCCTGAGTGCAGAACCAGGAGTAACCCCTGAGCACTGCTGGGTGTGACCCAAAAAGAAAAAAAAGGGAAAAAAAAGTCAAAACTTGTCTACCCTCCTATAAACCAAACATGATTGCCACTCAGTGCCTCTTTTGCAAACCACAGCACCCAAAAGGAGAAAGAGAAGAAAAGGGAATGCCCTGCCACAGAGGCGGTGGGGGGGGGGGGGGGAGGGATGCTGGGATCTGTGGTGGTGGAAAATAGGCACTGGTGGAGGAATGGGTACTTGATCATTGTATAATTGAAACCCAAGCACAAAAATCTGTAAGTCTACAACTGTACCTCATCATGTTTCACTAATAAAAATTTAAAAAAAAATTTGTCTACCCTCAGTAAGAATCTAAGTGGTACTTTCCTAAATTTACTAGTTTCTGGTTGTGTTTATTCCCACTTATATGAAAAAGTAACTAAAATTTCTTCTAGTTCTTCTTCTGTGTTAAGGGAAACAAAGTATTTTAGTAATAAATGTACTATACCTGGTACTCTTGCTTCTGAAGACTGTATCTTTACTGATCTGACCAATTTCTGTGACTCATGAGGAGGAAGTAATTGACTGTTTTCAGATATTTTATTCAATGAAAGTACATGTTCATGCTCATCTTTCTCAAAAATTCTAAGGAGAAAAGTGAATTACATTAATTAGCTAGAAAAGTTATAAGAAGTATCGAATACTACATAGTTAAATTCTTAATTCTACAAATAAATGGGTCTTTAATTTTTGTGGAAGAAAGATTTCACTGACATTTCCCAAATTAAAGAAATAACATTGGTCCTAGGGCTCTGGCACAGTGGTAGAGCACAATCTTGCAAGACTGCAATTCATTTTCTATATTGCCTCACATGATAAGTGTGATCCCAGCACAGCAGAGTATGATTCTAGGAAGAACACCACTTGTGATCCCTGGTACCACAGCATGTGCAGTCAATAGTGCACTGCTACCAAGTGTATGTAACCCCCAGAAAGCACCAAAATTAATCGTTAAATTAACAACAATAAAGATAATAGATAAGGGAATTTTATTTTCTTTAACTATTAATCGACTTAAATACTAATTTATATATTTATCTTATTTGTCAGTAATAAATATTTATTCTGAATTACTCTTAATATAATTTTTATATTAAAAAGTTGTGTTAAGTGAAATTCTGATCATTGTCTATTTCAAATAAATAAATAAATAAATAAAATTAAAGGTACATTTCCATGGATAGGAGATAAAGGAATCAAGAAAAGATCCAGAGAAGCAGCAAGAGAAGCTGACTTTGCAGAGTATACTAAATAATAATAATAATAATAATAAAGAGGGTAGTTGAGCCTGAGGAGAGGGATTTAAAAATAAAAGATGGCCTCACAGGCATTGGGAGGGGTGGGAGGGGGATATATAGGGGTTCCTGGTGGTGAAAAATGAGTACTGGTGAAGGGAAAGGTGTTTGATCATTGCATGACCAAGACTTAAACCTCTGAAAGCTTTGCAACTTTTCCCACAGTGATTCAATAAATAAATATAAGAAGAAAATAAATAAATAAATAAATAAATAAAATTATGAAGAAAAAAATAAATAAAAGATGGTATAGGCAGGAAGAAAAAAGTGAAAGTATAGCAGGAAAAGCAACAATAGTAGGTAAAATGGTAAAATCACTCTATTTTTTAATGTTTCTGGGGCTGGAGCGATAGCACAGCGGGTAGGGCATTTGCCTTGCACGCGGCCGACCCGGGTTTGATTCCTAGCATCCCATATGGTTTCCCGAGCACCGCCAGGAGTAATTCTTGAGTGCACAGCCAAGAATAACACCTGTGCATTGCTGGGTGTGACCAAAAAAGCAAAAATACCTGTCTGTTTTTTAATGTTTCTATATATATTTTATCACCACTAAGATAAAAGTTAAGGAAACACATTGTCACAGATCTAGTATTTTAGCTTTTCTTCACTCTGGTAAAGGAATTTGCCAAGCCAGGGTCAGGGTGTTCAAACAGGTAAACATAATGCTTCTGCTCTCACAACTGTGCCTTGTTTCACTGGCTGACCCACCATAAATAAATAGGATGAGGGCCAGAGAGGTGGTATACAGTGGGGTAGAAAGTGTGCCTACCAGCTCTATACTATGTATATACCATGGCCAACATGGGTTTGATCCCCTGCATCACATCCCCTGACCCCTGCCATGAGTGATTCCTAAACTCAGAGCCAGAAGCAAGTCCTGAGCACTGCCAATGTGGCCCAACAACAACAACAACAAAATAATGACATGTACAGGCATGACAGGTATAGGACAATAGATGTGCTACTTCTGCTATCCTATCACTTTCTACACATTATTCTTGGCTTTACTAAAAACAAGCAGATTTTAATACTAATTCATAATATTTTAAAATATAACGTTTTATAGAAAATAAATAGAAAGTAGACTTATAACAAATTATAAATACTGTAATATTAGTGATTTTGTATAATATATAGAATCAAAATATCTATTCAGATAAAATTCAACATTAAAGTCAATTTATACCTTTCTCACGGCTGCTTCTCCCAGAAGGGAGCATAAAATGAGGCTCCCATAACCATGCCACCGGACTCCAACGCTAGGCTGTTTTGACTCGGGGCACCCCAGAGTGGACAGGTGAGAGCCCTCCCTGCCCCAAGGGGCCCAGCCCCAGCAGCCAACCTCTACTACCCTCTACTACCCAACTGCCCCCACACTCCAGGCCGCTTTCTGGACACATTATAAGATACTTCCTACCCATTTTCCATAATTATCACATCATATGTGATGGGATTCAGACAGTAGGCAACAAATCATAGAAATATATATATGCCTCTCTGAGAGCCCTGCAAGCTTCTGAGAGTATCCCACTCACGGGCAGAGCCTGGCAAGTTCCCTGTGGCGTATTCAATATGCCAAAAACAGTAACGATAACAGGTCTCATTCCCCTGACCCTGAAAGAACCTCCAATCATTGGGAAAAACGAGTAAGGAGAGACTGCTAAAATCTCAGGGCTGGGAGGAATAGAGACGTTACTGGTGCCCGCTCGAATAAATCTACAAACAACAGGATAACAGTGATGCAGTGATACCTTTCTTCCAATTCCTCTCTGTTTTCTGTGTTTTTATTTTTTTCTTCCAGAGTTTCTAAAAGACTCTCAGTTTCATAAAACTTTTTAATTTGCTAAGAAGAAAAATAAAAGCAAAATTAAAAATATTAACTAAAAAGCATTAAAAATGCTTTTATGATTTGAATGGTATTAACTATTTGTGAAATTTGCAAAGCAGTCAAATTTAGTAGTGAAACAAACTCATTTTACTTTCCTCACACTTCATTAGTAAAACAAAATTTCAATGAATTTCCATCTTTTTATAAAAGCAGTTAGAAGCAAAGTAGACACTGATTTCTCCACACTGAGACATAGTTTCCATGTATTTCAAAGGAAGAGGTCATCCCCAGTTATAATTACTAAAATAAAATTATTAGTTGGAACTTCTTACCTATGGATGATAAACATATATATTCAAAGTAATTTTCAAATATTTCAGAAATTAACTATCCTTTTATTTTTATGCTCTCTCTCTCACACACACACATAAAACTCTCCTTTTTTTATTAATCCAAGTGACTTTGCAGTGTTCTTATACTTCTCAACAAAAGCCATATCTCAATATATGACACTGGAAATGCATGCTATTCCTTAAAGATAAGACTAATTCTAGCTATACAGAGAACATTAATAAATTTTCAAGATTGAGTTCTTCAAACCATGTACTATTCTATTTGCTTGCTGACTTACTCTTATAGTTCTTTTAATAGCTTTCATTCCTGCTATTAATTTTATATTCTTTCATCTGCTTTCTTTATTCATTTCCTCAAAACTGAGAGTTAACTACACTAAATATCTATTATAAAGTAATCTGAGCAAATAATATATCTAAGGCCTTTCTATATGTTTAGGCTCTTTAAAAATAGCTCTTCTGGGGGCTGGAGCAATAGCACAACGGGTAGGGCATTTGCCTTACATGCGGCTGACTGGGGTTCGATTCCCAGCATCCCATACGGTCCCCTGAGCAACTCCAGGGGTGATTTCTGAGTGCAGAGCCAGGAGTAACCCCTGTACATTGCCAAGTGTGACCCAAAAAGCAAAAAAATAAAAATAAATAAAATCTGTTTTAAAAAAATAGCTCTTCTAAGACTGCCAACAAGCATTCCATTACATTTTTACACTATTACACACATTATACACATGTAATAAAATATATACCTGGTTTAAGTAGTTGATTTCTACTTCTATTTCATCTACTTCTTTCTTCATTTCAGATGAGCCTTGTGAAACATTGTTGGCTTGTTTGATAATATCTTGTGTTTTAACTCTCAAATTAACCCTTTTATATTAAGGAACCATACTACAGAAGTAAATTTTTATTTACAATATTTGTATTATGTCAGAAATAAGTAATGTTACTTAACATCATTTTTGTTTCATATAATAAAAATAATAAAATCTGAGGACAGAGATAAAACAAATATAAAAGTTAGGAAAACAGACTAAGAAAGTTTGTTTATATTAATGTTGAGCTTAAAAACACATATAATCCAAAATAGTGAGAGGATTTTCTTCTTTTAATTAAATTTTTTCACAGTGTTTTATCTTTTGTTTGTTTGACTAATTAGTTGGCTTTCAGGTAGAAAAGTTCTCATTTGATAACAGATAACCTGCATGGGTCAAGCTTTTTCTACAGTCCATTTAGTTTTAAAATAAACACAGTAGGGCCTAGAGTGACAGCACAGCGGTTAGGGTGTTTGGCTTGCATGCAGCTGACCCAGGTTCAATTCCCAGCATCCTAAATGGTCCCCTGAGCACCGCCAGGAGTAATTCCTGAGTGCATGAGCCAGAAATAACCCCTGTGCATCGCTGGGTGTTACCCAAAAAGCAAAAAAAAAAAAAAAAAAGTAAAATAAATAAAATAAACACAGTAGTGGTCATAGTAGTTAACAGTAGCTTTATATACTAAAACCATAAATGCTAACACTATTGTAACCATTTTTACTCACTAAAAAAATTTTAAATTCAGGGAAAATCTGTCGATATCATAACCATACTTTTCTTACTGTCTTAAATACATGGTTTACATAAATATATGGTAAAGGTAAAGGTAAAGGTAAAGGCCCTCCCGTTGATCGTCGATTTGCTCGAGCGGGCCCAGTAACGTCTCCATTGGAGACTTGGTTGTTACTGTGTCTGGCATATCGAATACTCTCGGTAGCTTGCCGGGCTCTCCAAGAGGGACGGAGGAATCGAACTCGGGTCGGCCATGTTGGCCGCTTGTAAGGCGAACGCCCTACCCGCTGTGCTATCGCTCTATATATATGGTAGAGCACAAAATTTCAGTTGAATATTATTTATAATGCTGCTGCCATATAATCATATAATACTATAAAATGTTCATTTAAACTTTAAATAGACATTTTAATCATAATTTCTTTTTCTCCATACCTCCAGCAATTCTACTTTCTTGGTGATGCTATATTCCATCTCATGCCATCCTATGGTTCAGTTCCCTTAACTCCTGCTGTAACTTCTGCACTACAACTCTATCCTTACTACTGAGAAATTAAAACACAGATGGTAGCAAATGAATAGCTAAGTACAGAACAGTATAAAAATAGAATACAGAACTAGAAGCAGAAAAGTTAAAAGGATTGAGACTGAAACAGAAGGATGCAAGGTAGAATGCAGGGATTAAAGAAGACTTAGTACAAACAGGGGAGTTATAATCATAGAAAAGCTTATGAAGGATTGTGGGGGTTAGATGCGTATTAAGTGCCAAATTCATCATCAGGAAAGATCTTAAGCAAGATTTAGACTAATTAAGAGTTACATAAGTATTTAATTCAATGCCAGTAGAATTAAAAACTAGAATGCTCCCATTTTGGTATGATTTGTTACTTTCAGGCTCTGAGAAAGCTTCAAAAAGTCCATTTATATTAACAATATTAACATTTCTACTCCCAAACAATAATCATGCCACATAGGAACATTCTTTCAGGTGACAGCAAAAACTTAGATCTTTAATACTGCCTATCACAAGATAGGTCCCCAGTGAATTTCTATAGACAAATAATTGTGAATCACCCCTTCCTATACCTTTCATACTAACAAAAAAATCAATTTAACTGTAATCCTATCTTTAATAAGACATAAAGATTTTTTTTCATTTATTTAGGTGCTGGGCTGGAGCGATAGCACAGCGGTAGGGTGTTCGCCTTACAAGCGGCCAACATGGCCGACCTGAGTTCGATTCCTCCACCCCTCTTGGAGAGCCCGGCAAGCTACCAAGAGTATCTCGCCCGCCCGGCAGAGCCTGGCAAGCTACCCTTGATGTATTCGATATGCCAAACACAATAACAACAAGTCTCATGATAGAGACGTTACTGGGCCCGCTCGAGCAAATCGATGAACAACAAGAGGACCGTGACCGTGACTTCATTTAGGTGCTAAGGTATACCACTTAAAATTCGAATACATATATCACTTTTCTTTATTAAAATTGCTTACTACTTAACAAGCACACCTTTATAAAACCTAACCTAAAAGGAAGGTGGGTACACTGGTAATGGCTGTGGTATGTACATGAAAACTCATTATTAATAGTACTTTAAAACCATAGAATCTCAGTCAATTAGAAATTTTAAATACTTTTAAAATTTATTAAAAATTTTAAATATAAAATAAATAAAACTACTACCTAAGAGAACTTAATTCAAAATGATCTTCAAAAACACCTATCAATTTTTACCAGAAAAATATCATTAACAGTGAAAACACAGAAATACTTTTCTAATATAAATTTTACTTAGAAATACTATAATGGATACAGATGTAATGTCCACTTAGTAACTGATGGAAAGGGAGGCGGCACTGAAAAATAAAGCCACATTTTAGATTGATATATTTCAGAATAAGATACCACTATTTTAAGAACACAAAAAAAGTCAATACCTAGAAACTCAATAAAAATTGTTTCATTCTGTTTTAGTTGTTCAGTACTTGCTAAGACTCTGCTCTGAATTTCTTCATGCTCTCTTTTCTTCTCATAATATTCATGTGAAAGGGGTATTTCTGAGTATTTCAGTTGGTATTGCTTCAAAACATCTTTATATTCACATACATATGTATCATACATTTTTCTGTAAAAATCAAAAGTTATGTTGCTACAACAAAGCATTTCAAAACCTTACTAAATGTAACTTGAAGTCTACCAAATTAAGCATAAAGGTAAGTCAAATATCTACTTATCACTGCACTTCCCTCAATACTATTATCCCTTAAAACTTTACTTAATTCCATCACTTTCCAATCCTCTACTCTTTTTCTTCAGTAGTTCTTTATTTCCTAACCCTCTTCCATTCTTAGGAAACTAAGGAAACTATGCTTCCTTTCAAAGGTTACAATAATCTAATATGTCCAACTCAGTAATTTCTTGTCTTGTCATCCTAATAATTGACACTACAATTACAGAACCTGATTCTTTTGATAAATAAATTACTGAATCTCTCCTTGTTTTGTTTTGTTTTGTTTTGAGGAAAGAGCACACCCAGCAGTTCTCAGGGCTTACTCAGCTTCTATGCTCAGAGGTCACTCTTGGCAGGGTTCAGGGGACCATATTGGTGCTAGGGGTCAAACTTGGGTCAACCACACATAAGGCAAGCGTCCTATCTGTGTACTATTGTTCCAGCCCCAACTTCCTGAATCTCTTTACTCCAAGATTTCTGTTCTATACAGTTTACCAGCTGTACAACAGTGGTTTTTCAATTTCTAAGCTAAAAATATCACATGAAGTCATGTTGTATGTGTCAGAACTTAGGGTTCACAGTTATTATTAAGTATTCCACAACTATTCTATTGTTTTGTTTATTTTAGGGGCCACACCTGGTTGTGTTCAAGGCTTAATCCTCCATCACCACTCAGTGATAATTTCTGGTGGTGTTTGGGTAATCATATGCAGTGCCAGTGACCAAACCATCTGTGCTCAAGGCAAGCATCTTATCCACTGTTCTATCTCTTTGGCCTTCCACAACTACTTTGTAAAGAAAATTTAAGGGACTTCTACCACCCACGCTATCTCACCACATGGCCAGGCTCCAGACAGAAAGCCTCAGATCTGGGACCCTGAGAGCTTCCTTTTCACCAACCCCAGTGCCTACATCAGGGAATGGCAAAGTCTGACGTCAGCTTTAATTCTCTGAACCCAAAATCATGTGGAAACACATGGATATGAGATTATTACTGAACACACTTCAGACTGAAGTCAGAAGCCAAAGGATGCAGCAAACATAATTCATTAATCTTATATAGTCATATATCTCAGTCAATTAAACATGTGTATAGTTCAAAACCCCCTTGTCATAGTCCAATTGCACTATATGGTAAAGGAATTATCAATAACCCTTATATGAACAACTGAACATATAAGTTCTTGAGTAACTGGGAATCTATACTTTCACATTAACCCACACAAAACTCAAAGAACAATGGAAAAACTAAAGAACCCATCTGCTGTATCAGACAGGGATAGAAACCCAGGCAAATCCTCAATTCATTAAAACTTTTGGGTCTGGGCATATGGTGCCGCTAACAGGTAAACTTGGACTTGCAGGGTGAGTGCATCAACAGCCTGATAGTGCCTTCAGGCTTCCTGATACCCCAAAATTGCCACTATGCCTATAGCCAGATCCCAACAACTTGGAATCAAGTTTAACAAGAAACTAAATGGACAAAGGTTAGGTATGTGGGAGCCATGCCCACAAACCACCTCCAGCTCAGCTATACAAGCTCATTTATTGGCCTTATTTAGAGACTCATTGATAAATCTCGAAAGAGATCTAAAGTCACAGTTAATCTCGGACCCGCACATGGCTGAACATACTGGAATAAATCGGAGGGGGACAGGTTGGTCTGTACCTTCCTAAGCAGAGCCCCCCAGCAGCTGCTTGTGTCCACAATCCAAAATCCCCACCATACCCTGGCCTGATCCCACTGTCTCAGGACAGACCTCACCAAGATATAATCTGCTAAAAATTCGGGTATGTGGGTTTTGTGACTAAAATCTCCAGGCTTTCATGGAGTTGGGGTGGGCTACCTCCCCCAACTTCCCAATAAATATGGTAGCACTGGCAATTCACCCTCATGAACCAACTCCAGTGCTCTTCTGTAAACTCTATTACTGGCCTTGCTTCAGAGACCCGTAAATAAATCTTGAAAGAGATCAAAAGCCAGAGACACAGCAGCGAGTCCCAAAAGGTACCACAGAGCCAGAGATCTCTTCGGGCCCCATACTGAGCCAATTTCACCGGGGCACCCCAGATGGAGCAGGTACACTCTCCCCGCCTACTCCAGATGGAATCCCGGCAACCAAGCGCTTCCACAAGCAAGGCCCAGGTATGTGGGTTCCAGGACTAAATCTCCATGCTACATGAAGGCAGAGGTTCCCGCCTCCTCATAGGCCTGGCTGTCAAACCCACAATTTGCCTCCGGGCACCATCTTAGCACACCAACAGCCCTGGTCCAGAGATGCCCAGCTGAATCCCAAAATGGATTAGTGCCCTACAGAAATGCCTGCGAAACCCAACCATTTACAATCTAGGATTCCAGAAGTGTGAGGCCACGGCACCCATGATATTCAAAATGAGCAATGGACAATAAATGATCTAGCATCTGCCCCTGGCAGGCAGGCTTGAATGGTGGTGGAAAAATTCAAGCAAAACATAATGCCCAAAAGTAGAGAGAAAATATAGGGGAAATTGCCTGCCACGGAGGCAGGGTAAGGACTGGGATAGGTGAGGGGGAGTGTGATATACTGGGGACATTGGTGGTGGAAAGTGTGCACTGGTGGAGGGATGGATATTCGATCATTGTACAACTTAATCTTGAATATGAAAGCTTTGTAATTGTATCTCATGGTGATTAAAACAAAAAGTAATGTGGAGTTCATGCCCAATTCAATCAGCTTAATCAATGGCTGAATAAATAGCAGTACTCCTACATTTTAAAATATAAACAAATAAATAAAACTCTTGGGCCTGGTTGATGAGGACCTAAAATCAACACCCACTACACTAGCAACCAAAATTAAGCAAGTACTAAAAAACAAAATTAAGTAGTCACTAAATAAGAAACTCAACCAACTCAAAGAAGAACTGATAGAAAAGATGACAGATTCCATACAAAATAAACTGAATACCAAGCCAGTGTAGTAGAATTGCACACAGATAAAGAACCATGCAATCTTGAAGGCAAAATACAAGCCAGCACTGATAGTGAGCTGGCAAAAGAAAAGAGTAGCACTAGAACAGAAGAGAATACTTAATAGATAATAGAAAGGAACAATCTTCAAATTATAGGAATACCAGAAGGAGAGGAAAATGGCAAAGGGGAAGAACAAGTGGTGAGAGAGATCATAGCTAAGAACTTCCGCACTTTTTGGAGGGAGCCCGATGTACAGATTCAAGAGGCCCAAAGAATACCAAGCAAAATTACCCAAACAGAACAATATCAAGACATACAGTAATTAAAATGGCAGAATTCAAAGAGAAAGACACACTTCTTAAATATTCCAGAAAGAAAACGTAAATATAAGGAAACAACATAAGAATCACAACAGATATCTCATAAGAAATGGTACAGGAGAGAAGAAAGTAGAAAGACATATTCAAATTACTCACTGAAAAGAAACGTTCAACCTAGAGTCCACTACCCCACGGAGCTCTCACTTAGATGGGAAGGATAAAAACATTCTGAAACAAAAAAAGAGTTGACAGCATTTGCTATAACTAAACTAACCCTGAATGTAGGATCAGCAGAGTTTATAAGGCTTTTACTCACAAACCTAAACATATGAATGAAAACACAGTAGTAGGGGGATACTTCAACACTCCACTGTCACCACTGGACAGATCAACTATACAGAACAAAGGCATAAGAGCACTAAATGAAGAACTAGAAGACCTGGTACTAGTGAATATATACAGGGCCTTACATCCTTAAAAAGCCAAATAGGCATTCTTCTCTGGTATATATGGAACATTCTTCAGGATAGATCTCTTATTAGGGCATAAAACAAACCCACATGAATTCACAGGCATAAAAATCATACCAAGAATCCTCTCAGACCACAATGACATAGAGATACAAGTTAATCATAAAAAGAAGATGTGGAGAAACTCTAAACCTGAAGACAGAACAACACACTACTAAATAACTGCAACAGTTTTTCTCTAAGTTTCCACCTTTCTTAGAGGGAAATCATAGTGATATAGGACTACATTAAGAAAGAAGAAAAGGATAAAACCAACTATCTAAATGCACATCTCAAACATCTACAGAACCAACAACAAATTAATCCAAAGACCAGCATACGGAAGGAAATAATAAAAACCAGAGCACAAATCAACGATATAGAAACCAAGAAAGCAATACCCCCCTACAAAAAAATCAATGAAACCAGAAGCTGGTTCTTCAAAAGAATAAATAATATAGACAAAACTTTGGCTAGACTCATTAGGTAAAATAGAGAATGTACTCTAATGAATAGACTCAGACATGAAAGGGAAGAAATTACAACAGAACCCTCAGAAATACAAGACATCATGAGAGCTTATAATAAACAACTCCACTCAGTTTAACTGGAGAAGCTAAAAGAAACAGACAGATTCTTACAAATAAGTAATCTCCCAAAACTGAAAGAAGAGTAAATAAAAAGCATGACCAGGGTAATAACAAAGGAAACTGAAACAGTAATCAAGAATCTCTCCCCAAACTAAAGTCCTGGTGCAGATGCATTTACAGATGTGTTCTATCAAATTTTCAGAGAAGATTTAGTACACTGATGCTTACATTCTTCAAAAATATCAAAAAAAAAATCAAAGAAACAGGAATCCTTCCTAACAGCTTCTATAAAGATTCTGGGGGCTGGAGCAATAGCACAGCGGGTAGGGCGTTTGCCTTGCATGCGGCCGACCCGGGTTCAATTCCCAGCATCCCATATGGTCCCCTGAGCACCGCCAGGGGTAATTCCTGAGCGCAGAGCCGGGAGTAATCCCTGTGCATTGCTGGGTGTGACCCAAAAAGAAAAAAGAAAAAAAGAAAGAAATGTCTCTATCTACTTTGGTTATCAGAATCTTTTTTGTTT